ATGTATTAAGGTTTTTTGTAGAAACAAATTTTTTACGTCAATAAACCGTATTAGTTTTAAATTTTTTGCATAATAAAGACGGAATATTGGAAAAATAAAACCCCCATCTTATCAATAATCTGTGATGCCATGGAATTTTCTAAAACAAAAAGATATCCAATTATCAATTAGCAGCCGTTCGAAATGGATTTTATGATCGACTTGGTTACTGTCTTGCATTTAATGGTGACTTATTCGAACATTTATTGTAAATTGTTATATTAGGAAACCGTTTTGGTCTTTCTTTATGTTGAATTCGCTGTTCTAAATATAATACTTTTTGATAGAATTTGATTTGTTTTATAGCAGACATTCCATCATGACGGATATTGGCGTAGCTTTTCTATTATAAAATTCCATGGCATCACAGATTATTGAAAAGATGGGGGTTTTATTTTTCCAATTTTCCGTCTTTATTATGCAAAAAATTTAAAACTAATACGGTTTATTGACGTAAAAAATTTGTTTCTACAAAAAACCTTAATACATTCTTGCTCTAAAATAATTTGGGGAGCCAATAATCGCATGTTATGAATTTTACATTGAAATCCCTATGATGCGTTACGCAAGTCACCACCCTGTATAGCTATATAGCTCCTATATTGAAAACGAACAGGGAAAGTGGCTGCAATAGCGCACCTAACTTCATTGGAAAATGCGCTAGAAAAGAGCGGCGAATTCAAAATAGCCGTTTTTGATTCAGTAAAAACTCGCCAAATTCAAGACTGAGACTGGGCATTGAATGAATGTGTTTATTCAATGAACTGGCTCACTGTAAAACGTACCTTTGTAGTGAGGCCACATTTTTTGTTTAATACCTAATTCCTTTATTTCTCAATGAAATATGCATTTAATGCGAAATGTCATAGTTCTGAATGAGGGCTCTACTGCATGTTATATGACAATAAACTTCCGCCCAGGCATTTTAGGTTAAAAAATAGACAAAATTAGTAACTACTAGCTGATTTTTGGTGAGTTGTTAGTGTGTGATAAGGTAAGTATTTTCTGAAAGTTCCCCTCACTTCCTCCGCTGGCTTCACCCGGTAGAGTGATAAAAAGGACTTAAGTGACACGAATACAATAATATCGCTATTGCACTCATCTTCCGGCACAGTTTTGGTGGTTGTGGACTTAAATTGTTCAGAATAGTAGTGGTTATGCTAAAGAATAACCACTACAACAATTCATGGCATTTTAAACAGTTTTCTTTAAAATGTTTGGTAATTTTTGTGACGTTACAATGAAACATAAAAAAATTGCAGTGTCTAGCACAGATACCACCCGCACACCAGCGTATGCGCAATTCTACCCATTTATGTCTAAGAATATGTGTATCAATTTTGAGTCCAATCGGTTCAGCCGTTTAGCCGGAAATGAGAGTACCTACAGACGGACCGACAGAGCGACATCATTGAGATTTTGTTTGATGTTTGATTACCGGATCCTGGTACTTCAAAACGTGTATTTTCGTCAATGGAGTGGGGGTCATTTGACCCCACTGAAATACCTTCCTTACTAACGTGCGGGTGGTAAAGCCGAGGTAAACCACTGACACCGCGTCGTAAATGGCACATTAATAATCAGAGGCAAGGAGATACGAGTAGACCCTTATCAGCTTTTTATGAGAATCAATTGCATGTCGAAATGTCCAGAGGACCACAAGGAATATCTCGTATGAGCTCGCTTCTAAGCCGCACCATCGTTGTATGATGGGTGTTACATGAGGAAAACAACAAAGTCAAGAGGAAACTATAAAGAAGTATGCTTCATACACTGATAGTCCACCGACCTACAAAGTGCAATACGTTGTCGATGTAGGATTCCTTTTCAGGAAAGGAGTTTGGCCGCGACCTAGCTAACCGGGGTATTTGCCATTCGTATGTCCAATACGCACTGGCACAATATGGTCAGTCCGCAGTGGTAGTATTTGACGGGTCTCATCAACGAGCACGAACGCCTGTGAGGAAAGCAGAAGATCTCGCAAGATTCAATTACGGTTGTAGACCGGTGGCTAAACGCGGGTAAAATAAGGATAGGGAGAAGACTGAAGACGGACGATGAAGACTGAAGACGGAAGACTTACACTATGATGCTACTTACAAGATGGTGTAGGTGTGGGCCCAATATATATAATTTTTCGTGCTTAAATAAATCGGTGGTAGGTAAACTAACGCTCGGATCCTAAAAGGCAACGGAGACTTACAAAACGACAACAAGAATACCTACTTGCAAAAGAACTGAAATCCTGCGAGCAAGAGGTGAACTACCTATATAGGTATATTATAGTTAATAATTATAGATGAAAAATCGCAAACACAAGTGTGCCTCTCCTCTACCCTTGATCCCCAAAATAAGGATTCTAAGGAAGAATACTAATTCCTTCTATTAAGTAAAGTGAACGTCAAGGGGGTAGTAATCCCAAAGTTTTTGAATTTTAGCGGTTACAAAAATTTCGCACCTCACAAGCACACGACAAAATTGACAATCATCGTTAACGGAAACGAAACGTAGAAGATTTTGATAAAAAACTACAGTAATATCAATAATTAACCAAAAAAATAAGCGGAAAAAGAAGAATAGATTTTTGAAAAAAGCGGGAAATAATTGCGTAATTTAGACGAAACAATTAACAGATGGTCCTGAAAGCGGATCAGAAGCGTATCATTATGCTTTACCTACACATAAACCTTTGAATATATTTATATTCAAAGCATAAACTTAGAAAATTAGAAGAGTGAAAACAGTAAGGAAAGAAAAAGGGTTTAGATTGTGAAAAGGAAGATAGAATTGTAAGAAGAGTCACTGGTCACAAGAGATATTTAATTTTTTGTATATCAAGGATTTGTTGAGTAATATTTGATCAAACTCAATTTTTTTAACTTTCCAACTTCGAAGGTAAATTTTAAATAGCATACAAATTGCAAAACATTGTCTTTAAGAGGCTTCTGTACCCACTGCACTCCGCCAATGTAAATTTCCATAAGAGCGCCCGCCATAAAAACTAGTTTTTCAAAAAACAATATTTTTAAAGAACTATTTTATAAATTTAGACCTTTATCTACAAAATGTTGGGACTATTCTTTTAAAAAAGTTTATAGCAACTGAATACCGATTGTGTAAAGATTAGATGTTTTGCACCGATTATTGCGTTACTGATTTATTTTTTTACTCTCGATCTAGACGATTTATGGAAAAAGTAAACCGACAGTTTTCTAGATAAGTTACTTCTAAACATTACCCCAAAAAAGAAAATCATATTTTTTGTAAATAAAGTCTGTATCTTGGCGGGCGGTAAATCAACAATTTGAGTGTAACAAGTGGCGCCGCTGCACAGTGTCGGCGGAAACTAACTAAGGACCAAGACAGAAAGCAAGAATATCATCTTGCCTCTCACAACTATAATCATCTATTCTATGCACTATAGTCACAGATATTAGATATTACGTATATCTGTGCCATAATGTAAAAAAGTTGCGCTTAGGTAAAGAAGACTCTTAACCTAATCTCTTTGTGCAATAACAACAAAGTTACCTATGCAATCTTACTCAAATGCTGACACCCCGTATGTTGATTTTTGAAAAGACTGAAAAATTGGTGATTAAGAAGTTTAACTATTTAAACAAATTTAAAATACCTAGTACTATACAGGGTGGCGACTTGCGTCACGCATCATAGGGATTTCAATGTAAAATTCATAACATGCCATTATTGGCTCCCCAAATTATTTTAGAGCAAAAATGTGTTAAGGTTTTTTTGTAGAAAAACATTTTTTACGTCAATCAACCGTATTAGTTTCAATTTTTTGCATAATAAAGACGGAAAATTGGAAAAATAAAACCCGCATCTTTTTCAATAATCTGTGATGCCATGAAATTTTATAATACAAAAACTACGCCAATATCCGTCATGCCATGGAATGTCTGCTATAAAACAAATCAAATTCTATCAAAAAGTATTATATTTAGAACAGCGAATTCAACATAAAGAAAGACCAAATTACTAAAAACGGTTTCCTAATATAACAATTTACAATAAATGTTCGAATAAGTCACCATTAACTGCAAGACAGTAATCAAGTCGATCATAAAATCAATTTCGTACTGCTGCTAATTGATAACTAGATATCTTTTTGTTTTAGAAAATCCCATGACATCGCAGATTATTGAAAAAGATGGGGGTTTTATTTTTCCAATTTTCCCTCTTTATATGAAAAAAATTGAAAACTAATACGGTTGATTGCGGCGTAAAAAAATTCTTTCTACAAAAAACTTTAATACATTTTTGCTCTAAAATGATTTGGGGAGCCAATAATCGCATGTTATGAATTTTACATTGTATGTATGTATGTATGTATGCTTTATTGGTGATTTATACTTACAAGTATTTTCACACGTCATTTTTTCACAGACATAATTGACCATAAATTATCTACCAATACAATATAAATTTAAAACCTATTTTCTTAGACAAGATGACAATTAGGTAAAATGACAAAGGACAAAATAAATATACATTTAGACAACAAAATCGCAACATCTTCACAGAGCTAGCATTGAAATCCCTATGATGCGTTACGCAAGTCACCACCCTGTATTCGCAACCTACACGCTTAAATTTTAAAAATGTCCAATTACTGATTCGTAGGCCCACAAAATACAAATTACTCAGTCTGAAACGATCAGATTGTAGACGGATTATCTGATAATGGAATAACTTTAAAAAATTAAAGATGCAGTAAACTCATTACACAAATAAATGTAAGCCCAATGGATTTATTAAGAAGACAAGCTATCAGCCAAGACGCATACACAGCTTAACAGCTCTAAAATCAGTGATTGATAAAAACCACTACATTTACAATTTCTGGCATGCATAATGATAGTGCAACTTTTATATTTGCGATTCTATTTATAAATAAGTGCAACCACATAAAGGTAGTTATTGTGAACATAAAGTCAAAGGACATAATATATTATTTACTTACTACAAATACTGATTGCAAGTACAATATACATGTGTATAATAATTTATTAAATACTTCAATAATTCACTTTTAGAATATATAACAATATACAATAAAGCTACTGTTGGGTATAACATCATTACTAATATTACCGTAATGATCGCATCTTACTTTTTGGAAAAATGCTATACAGAACTTTATTTATTTCTCTGAATTTTTCCAACACCTTGTCCGGAAGACTATCATACAAGTAACTAACAACACGACCATCGCCATATTTATAACGTATTCTGTGTTTGTCATCGATCCATATTTGTTCTCCATCAAAACATTGCACATATAATCTTCCGTCGGGTAATTGTTTGGCGATACCCACACCAGAGACTGTCATTTGTTTGTCCCTTGTATGAGAACTATTGGTAACAGTAGATTGGGCAGCTGTGCTAGCCATCGACACACTGAATGATGGCTGAAACATAAGACTTGTATGCTGGTCCATCCAATAAAACACTATCACTAATAGAGACATTAATAGATGTAGATTATTATTACTGTGAATGTTTCAAAGGGTCTCAATGATCTGCAATGGTTTACAAGATTTGCCTAGAAAGAGCTAAGCAACTGCTATATTGTTTAATAAGAGCAACCTCCACTAGGCTTGCACAACGGCTGTGTTACTACTAATCATTATTATTGACATAAAAAATGTGACCAAAGAGAGGAACTTACCAGCGTATTAAATTGATTTTCCTTATTAGAAAGTGAAGTATTAGGTCGGCGCCCGACAATTAATGGAAAATTTTCACCTGGCAACTGGTTCATATTACTTTCTATCTGAATACAATGCATTTTAAGTTCTTGAGCACAGATCCACAAATCGTATAAAGATTTTGGCAATGTATTACATTCACCAACTGCCTGCAGTTTCCTACATATTCCATTTTCGTCGGTTATAGTAATAACTGACACATCATCGGTCGTGTGTTGTGCTACTTTTGCTCCTGAAATGGCTATACAGTATTAGCATAACAAATATACTCAAGATTACCATTATAAAACATGATCTCAAAGTCCTTCAAGTTCTCCATAAGAAAACACTTAGCTTTAGAGCTGTAATAAGTGACCTTAGGAGTCTTTGCTTTAACAAGATCCACAAATCGTGAGGCATAGAGATACTTTTTCCAATGGACTTCTGGCAATTTTTCAAAATCATATGCGTAATAATTACCATCACTTGGTAAAAACGGCGGTTCACTAGTTGGTGGAACTTTTCCACCTTGTGGTTCATATACATATATATTAGAACCATCAGGAGATATTCTTAATACTTCACGCACTAACTCCTTTTTCTTCGATCCATATGTTAATAAAAACTCAACGCATACCTCACCCGTTTCTAGTATACTTAAAATACATTTTTTTGTTTGATGCCTAGTGGGGAATAATCGGGAAGAACATAATCTAGAAAAATCTTTCTGTTTTGATTTTTGAAATTGCATCAAGTTGTCCGGAGGGTGTTCTTTTAAAAATTTTATTTTCTCTTTACAGTAATCTTCATTTGCCTCACAATGGCACGAATTAGAGGTTCTTAAAGAACAAGATGAAGAAGGAAAATGAGGATTGTTCTGTCCATTTACCAAATGGCAAGGGTTACTACAGCAACTATGACCATGACCTGCACATTCCATTGACACATGGTTAGATTTAGATTTGCAACATGATGAAAAATGTGAATGACAGCTTTGGTCAATTGGTCCTTGACATTGTAAAACAGCTCTTCCATGATCTGTGCTTTTATTTGAGCATTCAGAAAAATGCCCAATGTATGGTGAGCAATCGCTATTGCTCCGCAAAATCACATTTGATGGATAACTCTTCTGTATGGCGCTATCACTAAATGCGCTATCTCTCCTACTAGACATTGTATGAATGCCACTATCTTGTGTTAGTCTTGAACTGGACGTTCCATTTGAATTCTAAAATTAAGCGTTATAAGGTGATAACGATAAGTTTTTAAACGTAAAACAAACACAGCATCTCCCATTGAGCGTCCGACCTTTTACTTTTCAGAACTATTGTTGGTACGCATCGTCTGGGAGATACTGTGTTAATTTAATACATACATCATATCGTTTTATAAATGGATGTTCCAATATCATATCCAATTTAATTCGATCTTTGGGATTCTTTTGCAACAAAGAGTTAATAAGATCTTTTACTTCCGCGGAGAGAAAATTTGGTAGCCTATAATTTGCTGTTACAACTCGATTTAAGGTGCTACGAATAGCATGATCTTCAAATGGTGGTGTCCCCACTAGCAATGTGTATAACAAGCATCCTAAACCCCATACATCAGCCTCCAATCCATGCTGAGTGCGAGATGCAACTTCGGGAGAAATAAAATTTGGAGTACCACACAATGTAAGATGTTTCTCATCAGGTCTTGATAGTTGAGTTGCCAGGCCAAAGTCTGCTATTTTCTAAAAAAAAAATTGATATACATCCACTACTGTAATTAAAAAAACGACAAAATTGAACGTTAAATTAGAATCAAAATTTTGCATTATACAGTGTTTCAAAAAAAAGGTCGGATATTTTATCTGCTATACAGTGTGTCCCAGATCGCGTGGGATTGCATGGGAACTTTCTTATTATTAAAGATAAAGAATTGGTTAAATGGACAATGTTTTGCACAAGGTTTTACAGTTTTAGATGCTTATTAGACAAATAGGTTCGACGTAAATTCAAAAAAACTAAAATTGGTCATTTCCTTGAATGTCTTATATCATCAAAAGTATACGAGATATAGAAACAGTTCACTTGATAAATTTTTTAGTTCTCTTTTCAACGAGCTATCATAGCATAAGATTGAAAATAAGATACCAGTTATATCAACGGATTTTATATCTTAATCAAGTAGTCTGTGATAAAATCAAAAAAAACAAAAGTACCCAAAATTGGTCTTCACACATAATATAGAGGTGTAAAAGTTTTCAATGCCGAAAACGAATTTGATGTGTTTTTGTTGACTATATTTTTTTTGCAAAGTTGGAATACATGGTCGTTAAAAAAGTGTGCAAATACTGAGGATCCTTCGATATTTCGTTGTATCGGTTCATTTCAAGTAAAACTACAAAACACAAACGTCAAAAAATACAAAAACAATTTTATGGAAAAGAATAGAAGACTACGATTTCCCAGGTAGGAAATATTGAAAAATAACCAAGATACCTACCTACAAAGAATCGTGTACGATTTTCAGTAGGGGAATTTTTTGACACTGATCATCACAAATAATGTCAGATTGTTTATAGGCGCTTTCTTTCGGCTACTTCGCGATCATGACTTCAAGATAGTAATTCGTAGGATCACGTTTTACGAAAGAACGCGCGAATTTAAATCAAAGTATGGTTTAAGTTTATGTAGTACACATTTGCATTCGAATTACGTATTTTGTGTTTGGATTATGAAAATAATTTAAATACAAGTGGAAGTACTTGCACGAATAATATGCTCCTCTTCAGTTACAAATATAACCTAACATTTGAGCAAAAATATCCTTGCATTTATAGGTTAGGAATTCGTGATCATAAAACTTTTATGTTCAGTTTGTTCACGATTTTAGCAATCATGATCATAAGATCACACTTCGAAAGAACGTGATTTGACAATCCAAACGCGTTTGGATCACCGAAAGAAAGCGCCTTAGATCCAAATTATATTTTATAGCTCGGCCTGATGTTGACCACAATAAGTTGAAATCAATAGCCTAAGAAAAAATAAATAAACGTGTCAAAATATCATTAAGGGACAACACTGTCTGTGTTTTTAATAATGTAATTTGTTGAAGACAATATAAAATCTCAATAAAAAAGTACTATACGTAGATAAAATATCAAACCTTTTTTGAAACACCCTGTAATGTATACAACACTAAATAAAAACCAGCTTACGTAAAAATTAATTTATTTGTGTATAAGACATTTTTCACTCGAAGGTGAAAGTATGTTTGCACTGTCTAATACAACCTTCATTTCTTGTTTTAGGAACGAATTTCAAGACAGCGTATATAATTTGTGACAAAGAAGAACAGTAATAGATCAAACATGGAATAGAAGACCAACTTCTTATTTGTGTAGTGTAAGATGTAAACAGTAACACACTAAATTTTGATGTTGTAATCATAATATAATCTTAGTAAATAGGGAGTGTTGCTATAATTTCTTAATTATTGTCAATTTTTACTGCAAAGCCCTTAGCCCTAGCAATAGATTAACTCAAAACGCCAATTGAATAGTGGTTTTTTTTGCTAACTAACCACCGTTTCTGAGATTTCGCCCAAAATTGGTATATCTTAACGTCCATTTTTTGCACTCTTATTCCTAATTATATTGATGTATCATCAGATATTTTTTATATAATTATATATATTATATCATATTTTTCAACATTTTGAAATGACATGATTTTACCATCAGCCCTTTTTATTGATTGGTATTGGGGGCCTTAGTTACTATGGAAACAATAAACAAAACAAAATCTCAGTAAATCCATCGCCTACTATTTAAGTTCTTATTGATTTTCATGGCTAAAATTTAAAAAATATAAGTTGTAATTCATCAATGTAATCAGGAAAAGGAATGCAAAAAAACTGAAATTCTGTTTATAGTAAAGTTTCACTTGGCACAGGGACACGAAATTCACAAGTCTCTATCCTTAAAAACAGCCGAGATACACTACAGTCTGAACCAAAATAAGGCACACCGTACAATTTTGGCAGATCGTGATGGGCCGCAGTTATAAGAACGGCGGGTCCTGTGTTCGACATACCTGCATTACGTGAACGTCACACTCATACTTAGGTATACACATACTTTATACAAAATTCAAATGTACTAAGTTACAACAGAAGGAAACTAAGAAGACTCTGAACAATCTCTGATGGCAGATTTATCCAAGTGCAAAGTAAGTTTCGCTGCGGCAACTTGTTTTACTCAAAAATTCGTTTTTTAAAGAGAGGCATAAAAGGCAAACCCAAAGAAGCAAACAGATTCAGGAATATTTGACATAATTACAAGAGTTCATCAATTCTTTTCGACTCGGCCGATCAGGTCTGGATTCTGGATTACGATAGGAGGGTGAACAGTGTCCACGCGTACTTAGGCCTCAAATTCGGGCCCTTTGTACTACCTCCCTGACTAGGGTCGCCCGACCCCTCAACGTCACTCAAGCCATCCCACGCGTGAGATGAACCTTAGGACGCTGGAAGGGAAGGCGGATCTAATCGTAGCCATTGTTTTATAATGAAATGGACTGTATTCCAAAAATTTTGCACTTACCCTTTAGATGTAACTTGATTAGATATCGCACAAGGGATAAGGACAAGTGACAAGATTACGGAATGGAAAGGGTAAATGCAAGGATGAATTTTCACGAAACTATTAGTTCATTGATCGGCCTTTATTTATTTCACAGAGCGAATTTTAATTGCTTTTAGTAATTGTATCTTTTAGTAATTGTATCAACTAACTCTCGCGACGGACTTAATGCGAGTGTCCAGTTGAGTTATCTACTCAACCCTGGCAGATTAGAATTGTATGGGAAACTCCGGAAAATAAATTGAATTATGCTTTTAAAACCAAACATTTCCCACCACCCTGAAGAATACTTCAGAATCTACAGTAAACACAACGTCAGTAAAATTCTATATAATGAACTAATTATGTAATTACTATGAAATTTAATAGAGTAATATAAAGAAAGGAGAGAAAAAAAAAAAAAAAACTTCCATCAAATAATATTAAGAACAAAAAAAAATTCTAAATAACAAAACTATTGGATTATTGAGTCGGCAAAGGGCATACCTTTGTGACAGGGCGTCTATAAGTTCCATTCTTTGTTTTCACCCCAATTACTCGCACAATTCCATAATTGCCTGGAAAGACTTCCATGATACGACCTAAAGGCCATTGTAAGGGTGGAAGATTGGGTTGCTGAAGGAGAACAATTGTACCAATTTTGATCGGGTTATTCAATGTATTCCACTTTTCACGTGTTTGCATGGTATGTAAGTACTCAATGCGCCAGCGTTGCCAAAAGTGTTGCACCATGTGATCAATTAGTTGATACCTACTTAATCTACTAAGGTTAACATCCATTACATTAATTGCTGGCAATCTGTCTAAAGGAGTAAGAGTCAGAAAATGAGCCGGTGTAAGTGCAATGGGCTCAGCTGGATCTGAAGAGAGAACGCACAATGGTCGGGAGTTAAGGAGACATTCAATTTGAATTAAGAGAGTGTTCAATTCTTCGTACGTCAATAATTGATCACCAACAATTTTAAGTAAATGCGACTTGACGCTTTTTATATTCGACTCCCATAATCCACCCATATGTGGAGCTCCAGGAGCTATAAAATTCCACTGTATCCCCTTTATAGTAAGCTCGGCTTCAATTTGAGTTTTAAAGTTTTCTGACCTAATTAATTCAAATAAATCTTTTAATTGAGATTTAGCGCCCACAAAATTACTTCCTCTATCTGAGTATAACATGGTACATAACCCGCGTCGAGCTAAAAATCTTTTAAATGCTTGAATGAAATTAGATGTCGAAAGATCGGAGACCAATTCTATGTGAATCGCTTTCACTGCAAGGCATACAAATAAACAGATATATGCCTTTTGACTACGAACACCTCTATGCCGATTTAAAACAATACGAAATGGTCCAGCGTAATCTATACCTGTTTTCAAAAAAGGTTTGGCTTCTTGTACACGACAAGAAGGCAGATTCCCCATTAAAGGATATTCTGGTTTTGGTCTAAACTTGAAACACACATTACATTTATTAATAATGTTACGAACCACGCCACGAGCTGCTAAAATCCAGTAATGTTGGCGTAGCAAGGACAGCAATAAGTTAGGTCCCGTATGAAAATGCTTACGATGATAATATTCAATTAACAAATTCACCAAATGGTCTCGTTTGGGAAGCAGAATGGGATGTTGACTGTCAAAACTTAATTGTGAATTTTCCAATCGCCCGCCAACTCTCAGTAAGCCATCTCTTAGGAACGGTCTATATTTAACAAGTGCTGCTGAACAAGTGCCTGTATTTTCTAGTAAACGAATGTCGTTTATAAAATGTCTCTTTTGGACTATTTGTAATAAAACATTTTCTGCGGTTTCCAAGTCTACAGCGGTTAGTTGACCTCTGCCCGGCAAGCGTTTTAAGAAGCGTAGAACAATAGCAGTGGTACGTAACAATTTAGTCCACGAAGAGAATCGCTTGATTAAAAGATACAATGGATTTTCGTCTATGGGAGCGACAATCGTGGAAAAATTTTGGGTTTCTAGAGAATTTGTAACCAAAGAAGGGGGTGTAATTGGCCATTGCTCTGGATTCAATTTTAACCAATTGGGTCCCGTTCTCCATATATTATGTTCTATAAACTGCGGCGGGGTCATGCCCCTAGACAATCCATCGCTAATATTTTCTTTTCCACTGACATGAAACCAGCAAGTTGAACCGACTAATGCTTGAATCTGCGTCACGCGGTTACTAACGAAGGTCTTTAATTTGGAAGGATGCGTGTTAATCCAACTAAGAGTTACAGTTGAGTCCGAAAGAGCATATAAGTGAGTTATTTTCAAACGAGATTGATAGCAATTACGAACGTAACTAAAGAGTTTTGCTAAAAGATGCGCAGCGCAAAGTTCTAAGCGGGGAATCGATACAAATTTGAGGGGTGAAACTTTACTCTTGGCGCATAGAAGATTAACTTGTACAACTCCATCGGAATTTACGATGCGTATATAAATAACCGCTCCAAAAGAAGTTTCACATGCGTCTGAAAATCCAATTAATCCAACACTATCATTCAACTTTGTGCCGATGTGACGAGGAATGCTAAACTGGGATAAACATGGTAACGTATTTTTAAATAGTATCCAACGATTTACAATTGTAGGTGGAGGCGTCTCATCCCAATCTAATTGAAGAATCCACAGCTCCTTGATAAGTAATTTTGCAAAAAGGGTCACTGGGGCGAGAAAACCTATTGGGTCGTAACAACGAGCAACCATTGATAAAATATTTCTCTTTGTGCATTTAGAATTTATTAACTGAAATGAAAAACAAAACGTATCTGTAATAGGTTGCCATTGCAGTCCTAAAACTTTTAAAAATTCTGTATCGAAATCGACTGTTTGCGTTGAGCAATGTTCTGTTGGAATTTCAGATAATAAGTCACGGGAATTGGTGGCCCACTTCGTTAACTGGAAACCACCTCTACGAAAAAACTCTACTAATTGGTGATAAACGGGTATAGCTAATTCAGCGGAATCAATATTGGATACCAAGTCATCCACGTACATGTCTCGCTGGACAATCTCCGCAGCGATAGGCAGCGATTCCTTTTCATCATGAATTAGTTGTCGAATACATCTAAGAGCTAAAAATGGGGAAGATTTAATTCCAAAAGTAACCGTGTTTAGTTGGTAAACGTCTATGGGTGAATTTGGGGAAAATCGCCATAATATTTTTTGAAAATTTCTATCAGATTCTTGTACCATAATTTGCCTATACATCTGTTTCAAATCTGCTGTAAAAGCTACATGAAATAAACGAAAATTTAAAAGGGTTGTCAGTATATCCGATTGTAATTTTTCTCCAGTATATAACAAATCATTAAGAGAATAATTGCTTTCTGTTTTACAACTAGCATCGAATACTATCCTAATGGGTGTACTAGTAGAGCAAGATTTCAGTACTGCGTGATGAGGAATAAAGTAGTTACTATCGCCATTGCTATGAGAAACTTTTGACATGTGGCCTTGCGCTATATAGTCTCGTATAATGTCCGAATATTTATTTCTAAACTCTTCATTCCTTATCATTTTATTTTCTAATGTGAGGAATCTGCGAAGCGCAGTTGCACGTGACTCGCCCAAATTACTACTGTTATATTTAAAAGGTAATGCCACTGTGAATCGACCATTACTATCACGGCTATAAGTAGATTGATAAATATTTTCGCAAGCTAAATCATCGGGTTTAGCCACCGATATCGTTGGAATATCTTCAAATTCCCAAAACCGTTCAACTAAATTATCAAGGGAATGTTCAACTACAGCACAAAAATTAGACGGCGATAATGCTGGGGCGGTGACTGGGGCAGTGCCCATCACAACAAATCCAAGAGTGGTTCCGACGGCAATGGGTAAATTAGGTGGACCTATAATTCGGGTGTCTGTCAACAAATAAGGAAATAGTCCTGCTCCAATTATTCCGTCAACTTTGGCGGGTATGTGAAGCTTATCGTCCGCTAATGGTAATGACTTTAAATATCCTAAACAATCAATATTAATCTCCGAATTTGGCAACGTGTTAGCAATATTATCTACAATGAATACCTCCAATGAATAACGTTTTGTTGCATCAAACCTAGATCCAATTACCACTTGTGCTAAACCAATGATGTTGCTATTTACAGATCCTATGCCACGTACTAATCCAATATATTTAGACATTTTTAATTTTAGTTTGCGACACATTTCTAAGGTCAAAAAATTCCCTTGGCTGCAACTATCTATAAGAACACGTACCTCCCTATAAGCATCGTCTCCGTTAAAAACGTAAACCTTTGCGGTGGCTAACACAATGGCTTGTGGAAGAGGCCTATTGTCTGCAATACAATAATTTAAAGTGGTACTAATACTAGTGTTCGCTTCGGCAGGATTATGATTCTCGACGGGTTTGCCTGCCGTTTTTTCCAGTACAGAATCGGATACATTCTTACCAGGAGACCTAAAATGCAGCAAAGTATGGTGTCGTGTGTGGAAGAGGCCTATTGTCTGCAATACAATAATTTAAAGTGGTACTAATACTAGTGTTCGCTTCGGCAGGATTATGATTCTCGACGGGTTTGCCTGCCGTTTTTTCCAGTACAGAATCGGATACATTCTTACCAGGAGACCTAAAATGCAGCAAAGTATGGTGTCGTGATCTGCACACTTTACAAGATTGCGTACTTTTACAATTTGCGATCTTATGAAATGCCAAACAATTCAGGCACAAGTTGTTAGTTTTGGTTAATTGATAACGCTCTTGCGGACTAACTTCTAAAAAGGTGGGACACATGCAAGCTACATGTGCAGCAGATTTACAAATTCCACATTTTACAGTGGTGTTGTCTTGAACTACGAACGAATGAGGCGCTTTTGCTTTATTGATAC